CATCATTTGTGTTCCCATACCACATGTTTTCTGCGCTGCTATCTTCGTACCACCTTACCAATCTTTCGTCGTCACCATACCATCCTCTGTTTTGGCACCACAGTAAAATTGAGTCCCTAGTTTGATCCTGTGATACTGTTTTTGTTTATATATTCTTTTCTAACTTTCAATACAATGAGACCAAATCTCAACTCTCATTCAAGTTCTAGGAAGATATTGGAAAGCAAAACTCGGAAAAAAAATTATTTTCTATGTACTTAAATGGCGCAAAGCACCATTTTTCTGCTTTATCTTCAGGTCAAAAATAGAAATGACTCAATCCTCAATCCAAAAGAAGATGATCTAGGTGAATTGCGTACAGAGAGCTTTGATAGTGCATAATTGACGTACTCAACAAAGTGATATTAAGAAACTCAGAGTATTCAGTTTTCAAACTGAAGGCATAATTTTACCCTTTCTGTTGCAATTGTGATTTTACGTTTTTTAAATTTGACACACAATTTATTATTTATGGGATCTAATTGCTCTATTTCAGCAACATTTATTGTGGAGAAAAACATTCAGTATTATTAAAAAAAAATTTTATTTGACGAACCAATATTGTATCACTTTATTTTTGATAAACTGATATTGGGATTATTTTATTTAATGAATAAAAAAAATGGTTCGCATTACATGATTATTATTATGTGAAGTGACAATAAAAAGAAAAGAAAAATCATGTCATATGAACATATATGAACATATGCGTTATTTTGATAGAATTTCAATTTGACATATGGTTCCATTCGATTTTGTCACATAAAAATTTAATCAGCCATGACAAATGCAGTAGCAAGCGTTGCAGTGGTAAGAAGGATAGCCTTTGGACCTACAGAGACGTGAAAATTGGACTTCCAAATACCCTCCACAATAATCGTACCAGGTTTTGAGAATTCTATTAGAGGTCAAGGCAAATCTGGCAACTTCAAGTTGATGTAATCTAACTTCGGTGGTGTCACTTTTCTGGAATACGGGAGCCGAATGAGTAGACAATTTAGTCAGAATAACAAAAACCAAAATTGTAAAGATAAATAATTTTGAATTCATTTTATGAAATATAATTTGGCAAAATTTTTCTTTGTTGTCTTTGATTTGAGTTAAATTTTGAAATTTTTGAAAATTTTGACATCCATGCATTTTCTCAAAGCATAATATACTATTATGATTTCTTATCTGCACAACATGTACTCCGCGATTTCCTGCGCATTTTCTATCTATTCTATTCATCTCCGCTAATGATTTCTTTTTTTCATCTTCTAAATGTATATTTTATCATTAACAAGTTTTTCGGAGAAGTTTTCATTTATCTTTTCTAAAATAGTAAAGGAACGAACATTTATCATCATAGAACTTTTTGACTTTTGTTTTTAAATTAGTAAAGGAAAGAGCATTTATCATCATAGATCTTTTTGATCTTTGTTTCTTCAAATTATATATGGATTAGCACCTTATAATACCAATAAGAATTGAGATCCAAATCATGTGGTTATCGAGAAAGTTTGTAAGTTTTCTAATGGTTAAAGCAAACTTTTTTTGTACACCATATCATCATTTTGGTAATTATTTATTTGAATTAAATAATTACATATTATTACGATAATAAAAAAAAATTTTCGTCTGGTGCAATAGATTTTGCCTTTAACAAAGATAATATCTTCTTTTTCACAATTGTCAATCTTTGTCTTGATATTAGTGTCAATTGGCACAAAAGCTTGTACACTATTTTTTTTTTGGATTAACCTCACTATCCCAGTTAATTTTTTAACATTCGGTACTATCATGAATGTAGCAAATATAGTAGAAATCTTTATTTTTTTCCATCCATCGTTCTCACGATTAATTCCTACATTAGGTAATAGATAAGTTCCATGATCATATGGCTTATAGATAAAAGAGTTAACAGTGGCAAACAAAAAAAAACCCCCCAAACATATGATTGTCTTTTTTTTTTTTTGCCGCACCTGTAGGGATGTTAACGGTTATAAACAAACCGGATCGGATTTTCCAAGATCTAGAACCAATTCAACCGCGGTTCATTTTATATGATTGAACTGACAGAAGCAAGTATTATAAAAAATTTTCTATAATTTTAATTAAAAATAAACAAACTATTTTGTTAATAACTTGGTTTAGAGATGTCCAATCTGGATAAACAACTACCAAAATGTTCGCCTCTATGAGAGGAATCCAATGAGCTATAGATCGAAAAAAATTGTTTTATCTCTCGAAATTAAAATAAAATAAATAAATTATTGCTCTACAAAAATTAAAAAATTTACAATTGTATATTTTTTTTCTGATTTATTATCATTAAACTACAAAATCCAAATTTTTCAGTTAAGCAAAATTACAACTTTATCTCACTATCTGTTCTGTTATTATTGCAATAGAAGAATGTATACATACATGTATGAATTCAATTTTAAATTATTCAATATTTAAATATTTACGAAATAAAGATAAAATATAAATGGTGTTAAGATTTTTTAATATCAAAAAATAGTTAATAGCGATTTATAATTTAATAAATAAAATACAAATAAAAAATATATAACGTTAATAAAATTTATAAAAAATCATTATCGTCATCACCCAATTAAAAAAAATAGAAATAAAAACGAAAATAAATTAAATAGAAATAAACAATTATAAATATAATAAAATATATATAATTGATACTTACTATCATTTATTCGATAAAAGGTGCTATTAATTCTTTAAGTTTTTTTCAAGATTTTCTTCATTCTTAGGTTTTGGAAGATTTGAAATATTGAGAAGTCTACTGGTATAAATTGCTTGTGAATGTGTTTTATAACATCCCAACATCTCATAATTATTTGTGTAATTAATTTAGGTGTGTGAAATGGAATTTTTGGTCAAAATCCATTACACACTTTTAAAAGCCATATCATTATCATGCGACTCATTAATTATTTCATAAGCTTTGTATATTCTCCCCCAATTAATGCTTCATCCAGGAATGGTATTTTTTGGTGATTTTTTATGTTTTCTGTAATTAATTTACTCGACCCAAAATCTTTTATGTATAAATAAGAATTGTCCAAATATTTTAAAATGTTTCCGAGATGAAAATCACGATGAACTATGAATTTTTTTAAAATCACGAGCTAAACTGAATAAATTGTGTATTTTATCATCCCAATCGATATCATTAAAATTATTATTGAAATAGTTTCTAAGACTTCCACCATTATATTGTAAAACCATCATATATTCGTGAGTTTCTGGATCTTTTGTAATTCCATAAAGTGCAATCGATGATATTTTACCACTTATTCTCAAGAGAATTGTCATCTAAATGATACATTTTTCAAATTATAATTAAATATTATTATATATTTTCAATTAAATTTTCGTATTAATTTAAAATATAACTTTACCTCATTTAAAAAATCTTCATTTATATCTACAATACCATCAAATTTTTTAAATGCCACTTCAACTTGACCCCTTCTTTTCCATTGTTGATTTTCGATATTCCAATCATCAATATATCCACCAACCCACATAGCATAATAAATAATACCATAAACACCTTTTTTTATTTGTTTAATATCTTGAAATCTATCATAAGGTATCCATTCTACTACTTCAATAAAATGAGTATTTAGCTGAGTATCTTGAATAAATTTGTCTATCGTGTCATTCCCACTTGTCCATTTATCAAAATCACTGTTGAAATGTGTTGAGTTGCATGGTAAGCACCAGTGACAATTATATTCTTGAAAGCATTCTAGGCATACGTACGGCATTTTCTATTGCTTATAGTATGTAAGGTATAAGCTATTTTTTTAAAAGAAAAAATCAGTAAGTTTGTATCAGAATTTAAGTTTCGATATAAATTAATTATCTCATTCCGAGCAAAAATCTTTCGTTTAACTTATTGAGTTACTCGAAAACCAGAATAAGGCTTTTTTATAAATGATATAAAAGGTAATTTCCTCGGACTTGGAGATAATATTTATGCAATAATATCCTAAATTATATTTATCAATCGGTTATAGTATGTGAGGTTTTAAAAAATAATAAATAAATTTTTGAATTTACGTTCCTATTAAACCTAATATATATAAGGAATTGAGTAATTAAATTTAAATGATGTGAAAGTCATTTTCCTCGATTTCGGAGATTGCATTTATGTTGGCAAAAAAAAAAAATAAATAAAATCATAATGTTAAAATCAAGTTCAGGTGACTCTGCCATTCTTTTCTCATAAAAATCTGAAAAAATACGATTATTGATTAATAGAAAAGGTACATAGATCAGTATTTGCCTAAATGCACTTATTTACTTTACTAAATAATCTTTCGAATGAATCGAATTATTCTTTATTCCCTTTTTGGGAAAAAAAGCAGCTTTTTCCTTTAAGAGAATAACGTCGTCGAAACCTTGAATAAATTCTAATAGTGTTTGAAATATACTAATATACTTGGTTCGCTATTACAAAATAATTAATTAAATTAAAATAAACTTAGTTTGCTTAGTAGACTAAAAATTAAAATTTTTTATAAAATTTATTAAACGTATCCAATTATTTGTATCGTGCAAAAAAAAATTATATTTTATTTAACGAAAAAAATCTTAATTACAAACTAACTTCATACTCCATCTAGCCAAAAAAAAATATAAATAATTGATAAAAAAATAATATAATTGAACGGAAAATTAATGGATGAATTTAGAAGTGTTAAAACTTTTAAATCTGAGACTTATAATAACAGATAATTTTTTTCCAATTAATAGCAAATAAATATTATAAATATATATGCTTTACAATTATAATAATCTTTTGTATAAATCGAAAAATTATTATTTATTTCCTTTTCGGGAAAAGAATGCAACCTTTTCCTATTTGGGAGAAGACGTAGATTGTATAAATGCGAGTGTTTTATCGGCTCGGAATTAAAAATAAATTAAATAAGTTAAAATGAGCCAAGTCAGCTTAGTCTAAAAATTTTCTATAAAATTTATTGTAAAAATCGGGTGATTTAACAAAAAAAAAATGCACTCATTATTTATCTAATATAAAAAAAATCTCTATTTTATTTAAAAAAAAAATTCCTAAGATTTTATAATATCAAAAAAAAAAATTAATAAATACTGTAGTAAATATAAAAAAAAAATATGTAACGTTAAATAGAGTCTATATCCGAATCATCATCATCATCACCTAATTAAAAAAAAATTAATAAATAATTCTGAAATGAAAAAATGGATATAATATAAAATAGAATTGATACTTACTAGTAATTACTAGTAATTGTAAGAGAAAAGATTCCGTAAATTCTTCAAGTTTTTTTTTCAAATTTTCATCATTTTTAGATTTTGGAAGATTTGAAATTTTTGATGTTTTCTGTAATTAATTTACTATACTAGAATGATTTTCAAATTATATTTTAAAATATATCCGGGATGAAAATTACGATGAATTCATGAGCTAAACTGAATAACTTGTGTAATTTATCATCCCAATCGATATTCTTTTGTAATTCCATAAATTCTAACTGATGACGTTCCAACATTTGTTCTCACGTGAATTGCCATCTTAATTACATATTTTTTAAATTATTATATATTTCAAATAATTTCCTAGTTAATTTGAATTATTACTTTGTCTCATTTAAAAGATCTTCACTTATATCTTTTATATCATCAAACTTTTTAGATATCATTTCAAATTGACCTTTTCTTTTCTATTTTTTATGCTCGATAATCCAATCTAGAAAACCCACTTGGCATAATAAATAGTACCAAAACCACCTTTTTCTATTTCTTTAATATCTTGAAATCTATCATAAGGTATTGAGCATCTTGAATAAAATTTATCTATCGTGGCATTTCCACTTGTTCATCATTTTTAAAATGTGTTGAGTTGCACGATTTACGCCACCGACTATCACATTCTTGATAGCATAATTTAGGCCTTTTTTTTTGTTCGCTTATAGTATGTGAAATATATTTGTCTTCTTTTAAAAAAATAATAATAAATAAATAAATTTGTATCGAAATATGAGAAGATTAAGATAAACCGAATTAAGTAACCGATAATTTTTTATCCATCTATCAAAAAAAAATTCATATTTGGCCAACTGGTTAAATATTGTTACTATTCTTAGTAAATCATCATCATAGTACAGGTTAAATTTCGATATTCAGGTTGATTACTATTATTATTATTATTATTATTACGATCTCCTTTACTAATATCTGAAATTTCTTGATAACATTCTCTCTGGCATTGATTGTCCATTTTTCTTATCAATCGCCAAATGAATGTTATGTGTAAAGAAATAACAAAATAATAATTATAATAAATATTTTGATTTTATAAAAAGATATTTTATAATATAATATATTATAACAGTTTGCATTCTACGACAATTTATGATTTTATGATATGATTAGGATCGTTATTTTATTTTATAATTTCTCCAATCATATTAAATTAACTGATAAGCTATTTGATAATGATAATATATAATAATACATCATATATTAAGGATTAGAATACTATCAAAAATATTTTTATTATAACCAATTTTATATCTTTAATTGTATCTTTTTATATAAAATAAAAGAGTGTCAATAGAATTATAGTCAACTGATAAAAAAAAATTCATTCCTCATTTGGATTGAATAAGTTGATTTACATTTTTGAATTTTTTTGTAAATGGTTCGAATTTAGTAGATAATCAATTTTTTAAAAACAAGAATGCATTTCTATATACTATTCAGGTGACATGGCCGAGTGGTCTAAGGCGCTGCGTTCAGGTCGCAGTCTCAGCGATGAGGCGTGAGTTCGAATCTCACTGTCACCACACGTATTAATATAAATTCTTTAATGAATTTTTCTCATTGCATTGATGTTCATGATGTTACGACGTTACGCTGTCGCTCCCAAACACAAACAAACACTAAGGTTTGCTTAATCAATTTACCCATTTTTTATTGTAGGAAAAATAATCCATCGAATTTGGTGGATATATGAATCGAATATTTAATTGGTAGGTATTGGTTGCATTGGTGATGGAAATAAACTTTTATGGAATATATTTTGTATATATTATGTTTATCTATTTATGTTTATTTTATTATTAAAAACTTAATAACGCATTCATTTACTAATAAGAATATATTATTATAAGTAAAGAACAAATTTAATTAAAAAAAAAAAATTAAATTACAGTATTATCATCATCAAATTGATATTATTCGGTTTGATTAAAAAAAAAATTGTCCACAAGTATAAAAAAGTATTACAGGGAGCCATACTTTTTTTTTATCAAAACGACTAATAAAATCGTTAGTAAAACAATAACAAATAAGAGAAAGAAAGAAGATAACAAACAAAGAACCTGAAATCTTGGCCATTTTTTTTTTTAATTAATTTAATTAATTAATGGCAAATTTGGTTGTAAAATTTGGGGATATTTTAAGGTTTGATAAAATAACAACCTAAATTTCGAACAATAATCTAATACAACATATTATTATAATTATTAATCGAATCGGAAAATTTTTTATAATCAGGGAGAATACAAATAAAAGAAAAAAAGCTCCTTAGACAAAGAAAAAAAAAACACGACAAACCATATGTTCCATTTGTCGTCGTATCATATATACAGTTAATATGGATGGGATAAATCATATAAAAAAAAAATGGCTTTCACTACTGAAACTCAACAAATAACCAATGGACAAAATATTACATGTACATGAGATTATTTTTTTGTTTAAAAAAGAAATTAGAAATTGAATTAACTATGACAACACGCATATACGTACATGCATACATTATCTGTTATCTGTATCCGTAATAGAGTTACGAAATAAGCATATATATGCGTATACAAAGGAACACACACTTAATAAATATTTCTTAAAAATAAACAAATCTCTAATATTATCTTATTTTAATCTGGACATTTGAGTACAAAAATATGTGAAAGAATATTAATGCATATAATATGAAAAAAACAATAATGACAGAAAATAAAGAAGCGATAATTCTATATTCGAAGCATCCTAAAAAAAATTCTCTTTCTGAATCTATCTTCTCTTTTTTTTTAAAAAAATTTTAATTTGTCGTATTTTTCGTTATCGGAATTTTTTATTATTCGACCTTCGTTCCCGTTCTAAATTTATTAAGGAATTTCAATAATCTTACGGATTACGACTTTTTGCATTATTACATACATATCAATACATGATTACATGCATAATTAATAAAAAATAAAATATTTGTAGTAATTTTCGTGCATTCAGTCTAAGTAAGGTTTAGAATAAATAATTTAAAAAAAAATCAAATTTAAGGGAAAGTTTTTTTTTTCGAAATTACCACGCATTTTATATATAACAATTTCCAAATTAAAATTTCTTATTAAATCTAAATTTAGTTAAATAGAAATTTTTTTATTTGTGTACAAATTCTACAAGGTTATAATAATAACTGTACTAACCTGTATTATTACCTTTTCTTAGTGCCTTATACAGGAGACAGCAACAAACCTAAAAAAAAAAAAAAAAAAAAAAATTTGAACGATAAATTTGAATAATAATGGCGCGAATTTAATTGAATTAAAATTAAAATAAACAATCGAATTAAAATTAAAATTAAAATTAAATAATTTGGAATAAAGAATTTTGTCCTCATCAAATATGGATGTAAATAAACTAGTATAATAAATAAGTATGATAAATATATATAAATATTGACGAATTTCCTTTGTTTTTTTTTGCTCTTCGTTCAATGAGTTTTTTAATTATTTATAATTATTTTCACGTGTCATGACATCAAACATTTACTTTAGACATCAATTATTCAATATTTAATATTTAATATTTAATATCTAATTCATTCCTTAATAGTTATTATTTAACATTTAATGTTGTTATTGTTTTTCGATTCTATCGTTACTTTCATTGATATTAAATTTTTAACTTTATTTTATTTTAATTTTTTAAACGAAATCAAGTTTATTTCTTTATTCATATTTCATTCATTCTCCACTCAATACACTTGTCAATTATATTGATCGTCATATTTTTTTTATATAATGGGATCTCAAAATAGCAAATCAAAGAACATGAAATTTAATGTGAAAGAATCATTTACTCTTCCCGAGAAATGTACTCATGAAAAATTTATTCACGAGAAATTTAATGCTTTGAAATTATCAATAATTAAAAATAAATTGATCAAAAACTTTCTTTCATCACCGACATCACCGACATCACCGACATCACCAACATCACCAACATCATCACCTACATCACCAACCTCACCTACATCACCAACATCCCCTACATCACTGACATTACTTACATCATTATCAAGAACTTCAACGTCATCATCTTCTTCAGAAATCGAAGAATATTCATCTTTATCATCGTTAAAAATTATTTCACAACGATCTCAACTTTTACATGATTACGTAGATCGATGTCATAATCAACAATATTTAATTAAACATTATTGGGAGGGAAATTTATTTTCGGCACCTATTGATTCTTTATTAGAAATTGGTGGCGGAGATTCGAGAATACTTAATTTAAGTTGTGGACCCGGAACTTGGATATGTGAAATGGCTACCACCTATAAAACTTCCAATTTTTGGGGAGTGGATAATCTAAATAATTTTCCTAAAGAAATAAAACCCAAGAATTCGAAATTTTTACATCATTCAATTTTCGTTAATCAACTTTATAAGTTTAATAATTATTTTGATTATATTTATATTTCTTTTATTCAACATTCTCAACATTCTTGGAATAATAATAATAACGATAATTACAATTATAATTATAATTATGACGATTTTAACAACAACAACATAAGTAATTTAAATAGTGGTAATAGTAATAATGATAACAATAATATTTTTATGAATGATTTTATGATTGGTGATAATGATGTTTTAAAAATCTTGAAAAATGGTGGATGGCTTGAAATTTCCTTTTGGAATATGGATTTGGACAGAGTTGGACCAATAACAGAGAAACTTACCGCGACTTGTATGTATTACTCAAGAAATAAATTATTATTATAATTATTATTTATTATATTAATTTCATTCTATCATTAAATATATAAATATATAAATATACAGTATTATCATGCATAGGATCAAAAAATATTAATCTACCGGAATCAATAAACATTTTACAACAAAGATCTCCCTGCTTTAGAAATTTGATCAATATAAAGATAATGAAAAAAGCAATTCCTTTAGGAAGTTGGGATGGAACAATTGGAAAATTGGTAAGGAATCTACTTTATTTTTGTTATTGATTCATTTTTTGAATTAATGATGATGAACTAAAATTAATTGAATTAATGAATTATTTCTATTTAGGCATTGAATGATGTCATGACCAGTTTTCAAGATTATGCTACATCCATGTGCAATCATTTATCAATAAATAATAATGAATTTGATGAACTTTTAAAAACTTTTATTAAAGAAGTTGATGAATATAAAACTTTATTCAAATGTACAAGGATTTTTGCTCAGAAACCTCACACAAATTCCAATTCCACTTCCGCTTTATCATCATCATCACCTTTATTATCATCTTCTCCCTCTCCTTTATCATCACCATCTCATTTGTCATTATCTTCTCCGTTATTATCATGTTGTTAAACTTGATTTTATTTACTTGTTTATTGTTTATTTATGTATTTTATTTATATTTTTTAAAAAAAATCATCCATCTACTTGTAAAAATTTTATTAATGGATGAAACTCATTTAGGAAACAAGTGACATTTCATTGACAGGCTTTTAATAACTAGTGATATCTAGTTTTTTTTGTCTTTTTTTTGTGGGCTTACGTTAGTGTATTGTCATTTTTTTTTGATATTTTTCAAGTTTATAAGAATATAATTCTTATATATTTATTATATTTATATATATTAATCATATTTATATATTATTTGTATATTGTTTATATACGTACACACTTTCATTTTATATATAACCTGTATTTATTATTTAGTCTCATTAATTTAAACATATATTCATATATTTCCGTGTCATGTATTTTTAATTTTTTATTGATTACATAATATCCAACCAAAAAAAAAATTAATATTTATTTAATGTATAATTTCCATAAGATAAATTAATTCTTTCTATATTATTAATTAAAAAAAGGAACATATGGTTTTTTTTTTTAATAATATGATATTTTTTACTGTCTGTATATATTTTTATTATAATTATTATTAAAATAATATTAAAGAATTTTTTGGTTGCTTCTAAATCAAAAATAACGAATTATCTCGTCTCCAGAAATTATCAATGAGTAAAATTTGTGAGGCACCCTCACTTGGTTTTATTACATAACAATAACAGATAAATCTATGATTTAAATTTATAATAATTTCCTAATGAGCGAGTGGAATAATAAAATAACTAAAATCAAAGATTTGGTTTAAAACATATTCTCACTCATCACCAAAGGAACGATTGTTAATAGTAAAAAGTCAAAATTCTATCTTATTATGATCAAAGGAATAAATAAATTTCTAACTAGATAATGTTTTTAAAATTATCGTTTATTATTAACAATTTTGGCATTCTTATTGTCTCTACTAGGGTTTTGAGGTCAACTGAAAAAATATACTGCCAAGACTTGATTGGTAGAAATATCACAAAATAAATAAAATCGGATCGATGTTTATAAATTTAGTAGTTAAAAGTATCAATATATGATTGTTAGAAGCATAATACAAATATTTTTATTATCAAAAATAAAATAAGTCTGGCTAGAAGAACATTAAAATTAGTTTATACTTCTTATATTTATCTCGTTGGTCGAAATCTTTTTTAGTTTCAAGAAAATAATTAAATAATATATGTATTTTTAATTAATCTATAATTAAAGGGACGAAAAATATTTATACACAGCAATTTTTTATGCAAAAAAAAGTGGTTATGGGCAAAACTTATGAATGGCGTCAGCATAAAAGGGACTTCATGTTATTTTAAAATTAACTGACAAGGCTTTGGCTAATCAGTTTCTCAGTTACACTGAGCAACGATGGGCCGTGCTGTAAATTGTAATTAATTTTACAAACTCCCTCATGTACTTTTTGTTTTATAAATTTTGTATTTATTTTAACAATAAAAATAAACATTTTTGGAGTAAGGCTCCGTTGGTTTTTTTTTTAAAAAAAAAAAGGGACGAAAAATATAGTATCAGATATATTTTATAGGTAGGTTATCTTTTTTTTCCATTTGCATTGATTGATAATCTAAGATAACTCAAGTATAAATAGAAATTTGAACTTGATTAAAAGTATTCATAAATATTACAAAAAAATTAAATCAATGTGTCCCTGGAAAGAACATTTTGGTCAGAGGGGAACGGGCTGAGGCATGACCATCAGTTGTCTTGGACAACTAGGACAACGATGGGTCAGGGGGTGTCCAGAGAACTATAATAAATTTTGGTCACGGGTGTTTCTCCGCACAAACGTGAAAATTACCCAATGAGATCGTGATTCTAGATTATTTTAGATAACCAAATTAAATTTTTTGTGCTTTAGATTTGCAACAGTCCCCGTTTCCTAGTGGTTAATGCATTAATTATAATTTAATGAAAAAATGTCACTGGGAAGAATTTTTTTATAATAATTTAAAACTTGAATTTAATAATTTTTCTGTAATCTAAGTAGGATAAAGTTTAAAAACTCTTCCCATTGATCACTTGTACCAAATATTCCCACAGTAGAGAAATACGATTTTTCACTGTAGTTACATAT